TTGCTCGTGTGAAAGCCTGGTGCGGGCGGGCCCGGGGCATCGCACCTTCTCGAGCCTGTGGGGGCTACGGTAGATCCGAGCCCAGGGAGTCACACGCACCCCAATATCACGCCTTGCCGGGGAACCAGCTGGCGCAGGATTATCATCGGTGACGGTAAAAAAAGAAAAGAGTAGTTCTGTAGTGCCTTGGAGACTAACCTTGTATATAGTATCATGAGCTTTCCCTGGGCAAAACCGGCTTCCTCCGATGAGTGACCATGTTAAATATAGTAGATCCGAGCCCAGGGAGTCACACGCACCCCAATATCACGCCTTGCCGGGGAACCAGCTGGCGCAGGATTATCATCGGTGACGGTAAAAAAAGAAAAGAGTAGTTCTGTAGTGCCTTGGAGACTAACCTTGTATATAGTATCATGAGCTTTCCCTGGGCAAAACCGGCTTCCTCCGATGAGTGACCATGTTAAATATAATCGTTCAGTGGAAGCTGCTGAGATGCTTATTGCTAAGGACGGTGGGGTAGTCATTGGTACCCACTGTGTCCTAGAGTAGTGGTTCTCAACCAGGGTATGCAGAGATCTTCCCAGGATGCTTCAACTCATTTGGCTATTTGCCTAGTTTTACAACAGGAGACATAAAAAGGACCAGCAAACTCTGTTCAAACTAAAATTTCATACAGTGACTTATTTTATACTGCTCTACATACCAGGCACTGAAATGTAAGTGCAGTATATTTTAATTGATTTATAATTATATGGTAAATATGAGAAAGGAAGCAATTCAGTTAAAAAGGTGCTGTGACATTTGTATTTTTATATCTGATTTTGTAAGCAAGTAGCTTTTAAGCAAGGTGAAACTTTGGATGTACAAGACAAATCAGACTCATGAAAGGGGAGTCTGGAAAGACTGAGACCACTGGAGTTTGTAAGTTCTTTCAGGCAGGTAATGTTTTTCTCTATAAAGTGCTGTCTACATTTTTTGGCACAATATGTACAATTCGTGGACAAACATTTAAAAATGGTTGCATAATTTAGGATCCACAGTCCATAGTTCTGTCCAATTCTGGTTAAAGTCCTATTAAAAAGTAATTAATAATAAATATTCTGTGCCAGATGTTCCACCAGAATGGCATGGTACTTTGCTTTACTAGTCACTTCTTCGTAACTCATCATCTGGAGAAGATGTATGTACGTATTTACAGGTAGCTCGTAAGAATTATATTGTGCATTTACATTTTCTGCTTGCGATTCAGCTCTATGCACCACACTTGTCACTCCAATTAAATAAGTGAGACAAGGAATGGACATGGTAAACTGGAGAGACATCCACTGGTGGCCCTGATTCTGCTTTCACCTGCTCCTGTTTTACACTGGTGCAGTGTCACTGAATACTTCTTCCACATATAGGTACAGGTTGTACCTCCCTTAAGCCTCCCTGGTCCAACAACATCCATGGTCCGGCATGGACCATGGGTATTTCTGGACCACAGAGCCCAGGAAGAGGGACGTCTGGCAGCAGGGCAGGAGCGCCATAAAGGGCATCCACGACTCAGCCGGGAGCCCTGACTCGGCGGGGTGGGGGAGGACATTCTGCATGGTGGGGAGTTCCCTGGCCCCAGCAGCTGGGGAGCTGTAGCCTGGCTGTGGCCAGGGAGCTCCGACCCCAGTGGCAACCCCATCACCAACCAAGGAGCTCCGACTGCATTCTGGCTCCAGCAGCTGGGGAACTCCAGCTCCAGTGGCAGCCAGGGAACTCTGGCCCCATTTCTCCACCCAGCGGCGGATTTAGGGCAGAGCGAGCGGGGCGGCTGCCCGTGGCCCCGCGTATGCGCCGTGTCAGAGGAGAGGCCCCGCAAAATTTCACTGCCCGGGGCCCCGCGGTGCTGCCCTGGGCCCCGCAGCACTCTCATCCGCCCCTGCCTCTACCGCTGCCACAGAGCTCTAGCCCAAGCAATGGAGCCAGGTGGCTGCAGAGCTCTGGCTGTGACACTCCAGACCCAGTAGAAGCAGGGCCGAGGAGAGCCCCGGGGGGCAGGCTGGAGCTCTACCCAGTGGCAGCACGGCCACAAGGGGAACGATGTTTCCTGGTCTGGCAAATCCCCTTGTCCAGGACCAGTCAGGTCCCAAGGGTACCAGCCCAGTGAGGTCCAACCTATATAATCAGGAGGAGGATCAGAGCAGTGAATTCAAAGTCTTGGATCATCTTTTATGTAGTTAAATGAAATATATCAAGAGTCTTTCTCCAAGATAGAGATTCTTTGTTTTTGTCAGTAGTGTAATACTAGAGATTTCTGATAGGAATACTGGATGTTTTAAAAATTAATTTGAGGGGAACTGTCAAGCTCGTAAAAATGAAGAACTGGTTTTACTGGCTGTGGTCAGGCATTCAGATTACTTAAAACTCATTCTGCTAATGCACTTCTAGTCTGACCTGCAGCAATCATGTCTTACTGTTCCAGTCCTAGGCCTTTTTATGAGCAGCAACTGTTAATCATGCCAAATTCTAAGTGGTATTGTAATGGGAAACCAACATTTACAAAGGAGTTGCTTCAGCCATCCAAACTTGTTTATCATTCAATTTTAGGTCTCTGCAGAAGGAAGGCTAATGTGTTCATCTGTAGTAGCATGTAGCTTTCTAGTACATTTATTCTTGTTAAGTTCTAGACTAGTTTTTTCCTAGTACAGGTAACTTTTTTACTTGAAGTGCTAATCTAAGCAGGAGATCATTTCCCCCTTGAGAAGAGGAGTTAGCAATAAAGGGAGAGTTAGTGAACTCTCCTTCTTCCATGCTGTAAACATAATCATCCTATCCCACAGAAAAACACATGGTGAGAGCCATGGGAAGCACAGTTACCCATGAAGTGTCACATAGTAGGTCAGATCCTCAGCTGATGTAAATCACTGTTTCATTTACTTTCATATAGCCACACTAATTTACTTCAGTTGAGGATCTGGTCCACAGAAATATCCCTAAATTATGCAAAGGGCTGGAGTTTGCCCTCCTGTGCAATGAACAGAGGGTTCCATACATATATCCTGAGGTCTATGAAGCTGGGTACTTTCAGTAACCGGGTTTGGTTCTTTAAAGGATTTGAAACCACAGACAGAGGAATACTTCTTTTTAGGGTCAAACAAAGATATTTTTATTTTTTCTATTTACTTTATAATTAATTTTCCATTTAAATCAATTCACTATTTTTTATTCTTTTAAAACAATATAATATACAAAGAAAAAGTAGAAAAACAGTACAGTTGAAAAAAACAAGAAATAACAACTTCTCCTACAGATTTACCCTCCTGATTTACCTTTAAACAATTTATGGAGTTAACAAATATATAATACTCACGTTAAGAAAAATAGAAGCATTGCTTAGATTCAGGAGATATTCTTTTATGTTTTTCCTTTCTTTGGATTTTTCGTTGCAACTTACGACTGGTGTTGTTCCCCTTTTGGAGCTTATGTGTGGCAGCGAGATTCAACGCCGGGGAGAGAACCCTGGTTGATCAGACCTAGCTTTTTGGATTCGCAACCCGTCCGCTCTTGGTCTGTTTCAGCCAACCTTCTATACCCTGTTTCGGTATTTTGGTACTTCTCCACTCTCCTGACAATTGCTGACGTTAGATTTTTGTTGTCTCATTCTGCCCTTACAAAAACTTTGTCTGCTCCATTTGGGGTAATCAGCACTTTGTTGCATACTGCTGTCTCAGTTACTTACTTCCCTAAAAGTGGGGTTATTGTTGGTCATCCAATCAAATTTTGTTTTTATTTTTATCTCCTGTATCTCACAATGCTGCCTTTCCTTTACACTTACAATTAAACTGGTGCTCATTTGACATATTCTGGGTAGGCCTCGATACCTTCCTTTCACAGGTACATCTGTGCATTGGCATTGAGCATTCAGCCTGACTCTGTGGCCCCATGAACTCAGTAGCCTAGTTTTATTGGAGGTAGGATTCTCGGTAGCCCAGCTTTTTTGGAGACATGCTGCCAGAGTTTCTTCCATAAGCAGCATCTGATAACCCCTTCACCGCCACCCATGAATGGGGATTTCAAGGGACAGTGAAAAAACCCTTTTGACTTCGGGCTACGTTGGCTATTTTGTAGATTCCCATGAGTTATAAGGAAAGCAGTACATGCCTAGCTCCTCTCCACTTGAAGATATCTGATTTTGGAAAGAGGAGGAGAAAGAAGGAACAGTAACATGAGTCTCAGAGCAGGGGTTCTGGAGCTGTGGTAGCAGCTGTTATCTTGTAGTGGCTTCCATCATATATAGAGTTTACAATTTGGTTCAATGGCTTTCAGCACCCCCACTGTAAACATTGTTCCAATGCTGCTGGTTAAGTTAGAGATGAGAATTATTATTACAGATTATTTTATAGACAAAAAGGGCTAATATTTTCAAAAGCACCTGGATGATTTAGGGATGTTAAATATTGGTTAATTGAATAGTCGATGAACCTCATGAATTCTTATTGGTTAGTTGACTATTCTGTAGACCCCAGGGGTAGGGCTGGTAGCCAGTTTGTTCCTTCCTCACTCCCAAGAAGCCCTCAACTACTCTGCACTACTGCTTCTGTATCAGAGGCAGCAATGTGGAGAGTCAGGCAGAACTGGTCTGTGAGGGGAGCCAGTTTAAAAATGAGCTCCCCTTACGAACCAGCTGCCTGTTGCCCCGCACTGCTGCCGCTGATACAGAGGCAGGAGCGCGGGGTGGCAGCATCCCCCATCTGGTGTGGAAGGAGGCTGAGCTCCCTGAATCAGCAGGAGCCGAAACTGAGCCAGGCTGCCTGCCTGTCTGGCTCCTAATACTCTTCAGATGCAGAGCTACAGCGGGCGTAGGTCCCAGACCCCAAGTAAATGAAGACTGAGCTTGGCTGCTGGCCAGCCTGATTAAAAAATATACTTGGGGGCGGGAGAGAAATGCGTGTAGTCTGTAGCGTTAACCAAAAAGCTTTTGCTTGTCGGATAATGACTACACTATTACATCCATAGGGTGATTTAGAAACTTTAGTCCTATTGAAAAGCAATGGAACTTACACTTTTAAGTTAATTAAGTGCTTTTGAATGCTGCAAGGAATTTATCATTCAAAAACAGATGCATACAAGATGATGCATTGGGAAACCCAGTTAACTTATTGAAGGTGTTCTGATTACAATAGCACCTCTGAGGTTGAAATATATTTCTTTCTAAATCCATATGAATCAATATTTTAAAAACTGAACATCTGAGCAGACTATTTCTCCGTTTATAACTGCAACTGATCTGAAGAAATAGTCTGATTCTCTTCCCACAAATACAGGAACTGCTTAGTAGTAGAACTCCACTGACTTTTCTGTTTTACCCTAGTGTTTTTGACAATAGAATCAGGCCTAAGATGTTTCAAAGTAACTGCTATCTAATAAAACATAATTTTCTTTACCTACAGTTCTCCAAAATTGTAGTTTTCATGTTTGCCACCTTGAGATACAGCACTTCAGGTACCATTGGGGAGATACTATGTTCCATTGTATGAAGTATTAAGAAAATGAGTGACTAAGCATCAGTGTGTTAAGTGGTACATTTGAACAAGAAGACTGAGATCAAATTTTTCAGATTGCAGATGTTCTTTTACATAGTTCTTCTGCCACCAGGAAAAATTCTAAGTGCCAACTGAGGTCAGTGTGAGTATTTAGAAGATGCCAATAGTTAAAGATAGCAGTAATGTCACACAATTCATGCAAAAATGGGTAGTCGAAGGATTTGCAAGCTGCTTAAATTATGAAATAAATATCACCGGCTAAACAGATGTGCTTATTACATAACACTTCCCTGGCTACCGTATTTAATTAATTTTTTTTCTTTGCAGGCAGGAATGTCCCTCCTTGTCCTCTCACATACATGGCTGCATGCTCGATTGAAGCATACTTAAAGAGAATACTAAAGTTTGGAACACTGTTTGTGGGTACTAGGAGGATTGAAGAAAAGAACTATTGTTGTACATCCATTCAGTCATGATGTCTTTCAAGCAAAGCTTCCTAGAACACTTTCCCAAGGAAAGAAGATAAAGCAAAGTCCAAAAGGTAGGTTTAGACTGAACTTTGGTTTGAGCAAAGTTGCTGACTCAGCAGATGTAAGTTGGAGTTGTGAGAGTTTCGTCACCTGTACGGAATAATAGCCCTGAATTATATGATCCACAGATAAGGTCCAGACCAGTGCCTCCATAAGGAACTCAGTAGCAATGTGAGCTCGTTCATTCTAACAGAGAACTTGTGAGTAACTAGTGGAAGGTGGCTGATGACTCAGTATGTTTTGCTTCCACTGCAGCTTTGCTGAGGCTTCCCTAGCTGCCCTTTGTTGTTTTACAGGGAAGCATAAGTCTCTCTCTTCTTTTTTTTTCTCATGCCCTCTGCAAGCACACTGCACTCTGGCCAGGTTAGCCTCACTGTCACCTTCCTGTCTCATAGAAAGCGCATCAGGTGCTCTCAGATCAGGTCATGTTTAGTTACTTATCCCTAGTCTTATACTTACTTACTAAACTCCCCACTTCTTCCCCCTCCCGCTGGCTTCTGCATCTCTGGCCCTCAGGTGACATGATACAATAGTCTGGGACATAGGAGGAGAAGGAATTTGCCTACTGAATCTTGGGGCATTACACCTGTGAAGTCCCAGTCAAATAGTGTCACAGGGGATCTCAACTTTGCTTGAGGGGAAGGATAGTTTGGTGGTTAGAGGAGAAGCTTGGTACTCAGGAGACCTAGGTTTATTTCTATGCCCTGCCACAGATTTGCTGTGTGACCTTGGACAAGTCACTTAGTTTCTCTGTGCCTCAATTTCCATAAGTAAAATAATAATAGTTCTTCCCTCCCACATAAGGTGTTGTGAAGATAAATGTATTAAAATAATCAGGCACTCAGATACTATGGTGATTTTGACCATATAAATACCTAAGACAGATGGAAAAGAACGTACAGGAAATTTAAAGAGGACTGAGTAACAGATAGATAAGTAAAATACTTAACGTTTGGTGCATCTGGTTCTTTAGGAAATGAGAAATAAGTCTGTGCATCACATACAGTAATGAATGCAGAGATAGAACTAAGTCACATATGGCACCAATAAGAGACAACCACAGTTAATCTTAGATAAATTAGCAATTTCCCTGCATCCTTTCTCAAAGATAAGATTTAAACGAATTGCAGGTAAGGGCAGAAAGACCACTCCAACTGCTGGAGTGTTTCACTAGACTCCAAACACTACTGAATGGCTAGAAGGAAAAGTAGAAATAAGATGCACCTTTTCTGTTTTCTATGTATTTCTGGTGCTCTGCAGCATGCTGTAAAATCTCCTGTTTGTTCCTTAAGACTCCATACCAATGTTAAACCTCCAAGAGCTTAACATTGGGCAAGGAAATAAATGGATCATTTAAGCATGCCCCAATTTAAAACTAAGGCACTAAAACAGGGCATTTTTGACATACGGAGCCCCACAGCTAGAGACCCAACCAACAGCATGTGGGTAGTAGACATTGTCCCTCCATTGAAAGTCTCTGTCATTCACAGAAAGCATATTCATTTTAGTAGTTTAAAGTATTCCTACTGCATGCAGTGCATTAGAAGAGCTGAACAAAAAGGTAGATGATACACTACAAAGCAGATAATAGGAACAGATGCTTCTTTTTAGTTGGCTGTCTGTCTTGGGGAAGCTCACTCAAGTTGATAAACCAGAAAAATGAGGCAACTTTGTTTGTTTCCTTCCAATACAAAAAATATTCCTACAGAAGCTCTGAGGCTGATGATAACTTGCAATGCCAACAAGGACCACTCAGGAGCATTAAATGATAATATAGAAATGAATTAACTCTGCCAGCAAGCATCATTAAATCAAATGGAGATAAACAAGTTCTTCAGCCAACCAATTAAATAAAAGCTTGGAAGAGCCTATCACCATCTCTTCCTTCCATCCCAGGAATATATTCTTATCCTTTCTCTAATCAAGGTTTTATTTGGAGAGAGCGGAAAAAGACCAAGAGACCCAATAAGGTACTGCCTTATTTTGCAGCACTACTAAGAAAAATTTCAACAGATTGCATTTCTGGGGGGAATAGGTGTATATTAAGCAACCTGAGAGTGCTGGATCTGCTAATTGAAGTTAGAAGGGAGAGCTCATGACTTTTATTGAAGAATGGCTGCTGGAGGCTTGGTCACGGAGGAGTTGTTGTTTAGATTCTAGAAGTACCCCAATGTATTAGGCATTTTCCAATCAAAGAGGAAGATAACCTCCAAAGACCAACAAAAGGTAGAGGAATGCAATGCCATATCCAAAGGTAATCTTGGGTACAGCTTATTAGCTGCAAGATGGTATTTAAGTTCATTTAATGTTAAATATATGGAGGCACTTGCCCTCACTCATCATCATCATCATCATCTTTACCTCCCTTCCACACCATTCCTTAGTTTCAATTCCAGTGTCCAAACTCTCCTACCCTCCATGATTCCTTCTCCTCACATAAATGAGTGCTTCCCTCTGGCTATGTCAAGACTGCAGGCTTCTTTCGAAAGAGAGCGTCTACACAGAAAAAGCACCACATTGATTGGATTTATCTTGTATATAAGGCCACCCGGAACCAGTTCAGGCATGGCATTAAGTCACCACTTGCTTCCAAGTGCTGTTGCCCAAGCCTAGCTGAGAGACGCACTTAAAGGGACGCCCCTGGACAGTCGTTTCTCTGTTTCTGCTGCATGCTTGCCCACCTTTCCAAAGGACAGCAAAGCTTTAGTGGTGTGTGCTCTGGTTGCCCAGCTTTTGGATGCCACAGCATTTTTCTTTTTGCCAATGGAGCCAGAGCTATAGCGTTCTGATTACTTTGCACCGAGTGGCCACCAGGACACCTATGCTATTTTCTGGAGGCCTCTTCTTTCAAAAGAAAACCTTTTTCCCCATCCACACACACCTTTTCCCGAAAGAGCTCTGTCAGAAAAAGGCATCTTCCTCGTAGAAAGAGGCTTACCACTGTTGGAAAACCCCGTCTGTTCTTTTGACTTTTTGTGGTAAGAATGCAATTGCATTGTGGAAGGTGTTTTTTTTTTTGAAAAACAGCTATTTTTCCAAAAAACCACTTCAGTGTAGACATACCCTTTGTGAAATACAAAAATTCTAGCACATATTAAAAACTATACTTTTTTTCTTGTATCTACCTTGAGATCATTAATACCTTAAAACATTGAAATAATAATTGGTAAACCTAGCAGACTGACTTTTGAAATGACAATCTTCAACTCTTAATAGATTATCAGAAGTGAAAGGCTGGCTGATCCCCTTTCAGGCTGCTAAATTTGGGATATGGTGCTGGTTTGTATCTCTTCTTAAATAACCAAAACAAATTTTTGAAACTAAACTCAAATCCTTTTTAATACCCATGATTTGGAGAGGTCAAAATAGGCAAGACAATATTTCATGAAAATATTTTATTTCTCTGTTCAGCATATCTATCGTCATCCACTGTATCTTTAAGTAGAGAATTAGGTGACGCAGCAACAAAGTACAAAATTAAACTCTGAAAAAAATGATTTATTTGGTACAATTAATCTTCCTAGTGGACTCTCATTTCCTAGTTAAATCACTCCAAAAAACTGAAATCTTTTTTTGAATTGGAACTTGTATAGTTGGTTTCCAAATAACAGGCATCTGTTTTTCAAAATAGCTTGAGACTTTTATGGCTCCAAAAGTGCATTAAAAAAGGAATTTGCTTTTTTGAAAAATAGCGTCCTATCTTGCATTTAAATTGTGATTAGTATGGATGGCGTGGCCACCAGGGCACCTGTGCTTTTTCCTGGAGGCCTCTTCTTTTGGAAAAAACCCTCTTCCCCATCCACACATGCCTTTTTTCCAAAAGAGCTCTTTCAGAAAAAGGCTTCTTCCTCGTAGAAAGAGGTTTACCAATGTCAGACAAAACCCCTCTGTTCTTTTGATTTTTTTTTTTCAAAAGAATGTGATTGCAGTCAGGGGCAGCCCGTGAGCCTAGGCGAACTAGGCAGTTGCCTAGAGTGCCACTGGCCCGGGTGCCCGATGATGACATCATGGCCATTGATGGCCGTGCAGGCAGGGGGGGCTCTTGTGGCAGTCCACCTCGGGCCGCTCCTGATTGCGGTATGGATCTAAGTGACTTTTTTTTTGGAAAAATGACTGTTTTCCCAAAAAAACCTGCAGTGTAGACAAACCCTCACATGCATTTAGTTCCTGCAGAACATCTGCAGAAAGGCTTCTCTCGAGATGTGATAGTGGGCTACATAACCCCTCTTCTCACCCACTGTGCATCTGTGAGCTAAAGCACTGATCATTCACCTGATCTGCCTCTCCTTGTTTCACAGAAATGGAGACCAAATTGCACCATGGTAATGTTCTTAGAGAGGATGGTGCATTTCAGATAGTGATGAGGAGAGAATTTTGCCTTACAGAGGGTTCGTGTTTTATAAGAGTCCAAATTTCTGCTGCAGGTAGTATTACATGGTGCTCCATGTCTAGCCAGAATAACCACTCTGAACCAAACATAAGCTTGGCCATATGGATGAAGAGCTAAGTCTGCACTCATCAACCAGTTGTTAGTCCAGTGTGCTACCAAAACAGCAGTTACCACACCTGCCAAGAGGTACAGATTGATGGTAGTAAAATCCCAGTGCAAGTTTGTGTAGCTGGTGACATGAAGGAGGTAGTTCCTGGACAGTGTGTTCTATATTTTAAGTACTTAGAACACAAGCTCTAAGTTAGGTGCAAGAGACAGTGTTAAAACTTCCACAGGAAACACTGGCAGAGTGCAGGGCAAGAATGGTATGGGGGAAATATTGTCGTTATTCTGGGTGTATAGTTCAGGCTGCTCATGAAAGTTGTAGTTGCATCAGCTAGTCACAATTATGTTGTAAGGAGATATTTTGCAAGCTTTCCTGCACAACCACTGCATCTCAACACTGTCCTACATCTCCCAATATTCTGTGCACAGCCTCCCTCCCCTTAGCAGAGCCTGTACATTGTCACAATTGGGTATTATCTACACTGCAATAAAAGATCCATATGGCACAGCTGTGGC